CATTGCCCTGTAGTACGAGAACTTTGAATATGTTTACAATGGGCACCCGATCAGCTGTGCCGTTGCTTTCCGATGAACAATTATTGCGCCGTCATCGTTGATCATTGGTCACTGAAATTTTACGGCTGCAGCCGAAACTGGATATGCGGCAAGGGAAATGCGTGCAGTACGATTGCGCCAACCCTTGGGCTATCAAAACTTCGATTTTGCACCGAATTGGGATCATTTTGGCCCAAATGGGAGCGCTTAAATCTTCTTGGGGCCCTAAAGAAGCAAAGTTCCCGGCTTTTTTCCTGGAAGCTCTAAAAGGTACTCCCCAGAGTTCCATAGAAGGGAATCGTAAAAAGTGCAAATATTGCCTTTTTCTGGCGTGAAAAACTCTCGTTATCATTCGGTAGTCGTCGACAAATACAATGGAATGGTCGTTCTTTGTGGTGAGGCGGCAGCTCTTCTGTCACGTAGGTGTTCCCACTTTTTAGTTCCGGATCTCTACAGTCATGTAAATACAGCTGCGTTACATCACAGCAGCACAGCATATTGCATTCGAACTGTGGTTTTAGGCCAGGGAGATTGATTACCAGACGAATATTCCCACATAATTCACGTTGGATGGGTATGGGGTGGTCTAGGAGAGACTAGGGCTGGTAGTGGGTAAATCCTAGTAATCGTAGCTCAAGTAATAGGTAAGTGGTAGTAATAGGTATAGGTAAATCACACTTTCACGCACTGGATGACCCTTGCACCCGTATTTGAGGGAATTAGATGTTCACGATTAAGTGCTCTTCAGGTCTGGAGAACCTTAACAGCGATGAACCGTTGTAGCCATAGGGTTAAGGGCTCCTTCAGTCCCCTCGGCTGCTCAATTACCTCTCATTGCAACGCCTAAATGAAGGCCACAGGTGGTGCAGTGGTAAGTGGCGCTACTTCTCACGCGCCAGGTCTAGTCTTGGGTCGGATTTCGCTCACCATAATCGATCCTTCCTTTCTTGGGTCGCTTAGTTGATACCAGACTCGTCTGGGAAAACAGAAACAGACTTGTTTATCGGCGGCTCCGAATTTTTTATATAGGCTATGTCCCACTCAAATGCTGCTACCATCCTGAGGAAAAGTGGATGCATGGCGCATCCAAAAAGAACTGACCAACATCGAAAGCTTCATCTTTTTGCCCTGGAATCAGTTAACCTAGAAAGACGTGCTGGTCGTCTTTATGCAGTTTTTACGGAATTCTGAGGAGTCTAGGATTAAAGTGAGGATTCAGAACAAAAGTTTACTGTATTCATCTACCATCGTTCTGATAAAAAGAAAGCATTTCATAAACCCTTCACGAGCACAGGACTACTTTCTGTCCCTGTCCTTGTGTCCCGTTGTGTAGTCATGCCTTTATGCGCCAAACATCGAATAAATAAATGTGCTTTCGTTGAAAACCGCATCCGTAATGAACCCCATGAGCGCACCCGCGCGACGAAGTACTCAATGTGAGGGCACAAAGTACTCGTGTATTTTGAACTTGACCTTGTGACGTAGGTATTCAACGAAATCACAGTTCGGGACACCACGTGACTGATGACAGCCAGTGTGAAGTGCCACAAACAACATCGATGCATGTTCGCTGTGTAAGAGTGTTTGCGGCAGTTTTCATCGTTGTTTTCATAGAGCTTCTCTCAATGACCTATTTATCACCCCGGTGGGAGAGCCAAAAAGACACGTAGAATAGCAGCGCATCGCAAATATCATAACAAAGAAGTGGGAGATGGGCAGAAAGTTGCAAAAGAATTCGGGGAATTCGGAGGCTAGAGATATAAATCTCATTAATCAACAGTAAATAAATATAAGAATATATCGACAATAAATCATTACATTAAGAAGTATAGCAACGTGTAGGACAATAATCAATAAAATGATTCAAACAGAAAGAAGTAATTGTTAATAATAATAATAATAATAATAAATAATAATAATAATAATAATAATAATAATAATAATAATAATAATAATAATAATAATAATAATAATAATAATAATAATAATAATAATAATAATAATAATAATAATAATAATAATAATAATAATAATAAACGCATGCCGCCCGTCCACTGATGGCTTTTGACCTTAGCTCCTTTGTCAACCACTGCGCTTTTTCCCGGTTTGCAGACTGCCTCTAACGATTAAAATAATATAATAATAATAATAATAATAATAATAATAATAATAATAATAATAATAATAATAATAATAATATAATAATATAATAATAATATAATAATAATAATAATAATAATAATAATAATAATAATAATAATAATAATAATAATAATAATATAATAATAATAATAATAATAATAATAATAATAATAATAATAATAATAATAATATAATAATAATAATAATATAATAATAATAATAATAATAATAATAATAATAATAATAATAATAATAATAATAATAATAATAATAATAATAAAATATAATAATAATAATAATAATAAAATAATAATAATAATGACAGTGGTAATAACTGCTCTGAAGTTAAACGAGTTATGCAGATTGGGCCATGTACGCGACTTTCTTTGAGAATCGCAAGGGCATTGAATGTATGCAAGAACTTCCATAATAATGATAGGCTGTTGCTCGCCTAAAAGTCAGAGTACATATCTTTACGAATAAGTCTGCTGCCATAAGTTGATCCTGAGGAGTTGGATGGTTAGTTGACATTCAAGGGTTCGATCTTCATGTTGGTAGAATGCAATGCGTCACTTTGTCGTTCTAATACGAACGCCATATGGAAGGAAAGCTCCTTTATTTTTTCATGGAAAGAGGAAATTGAAGACTTCCTCTGGACTTTCTGGAATTATCCGCTTAGCCATTCAGTCATGTACCGATGGTGCCCTGAGCGTTCAATGCTCCCATTCAGTCGGAATATGCGAGCGAGTGCTAGGTACAAGTTTGGTGCATGGGCGATGGGATAACTACACGCGGCTATAAGGGTGCGCGAAAGAGTGCAGTCTGGGGACTGTGCATGTCCTGAGTTGCCTCGAAAAAAAGGGACCCAGTGGGTCAGCGAGCTCTTGCGAATTACCCAGCCAATCCTAGAGCGAATGATAGGCTCCAGTAAATGAGAACCTAGCATAAAGCATCTGAGCCTTCAAGCAAGTTATTCGAGTATAGGTCACCTTTTTCAGCGATCACTGTGTTTGAATGCCACGAGCACGTTAGCCGTCGACATCATCGATTCAGATGACGATCTCAGCCCCACGTCAAATCAGAAGAAGCTGTGCCTCTTGTGCCAGCATGAACGCAACAGAGGTCAGTGCTGGATTTCTAGCATATAGCGGTTGTATCTGTACTTTAATAGTGAACTTGTATAAGATAGTTATTATTTAGACGCAAGAACGGGGTCAACGGTCACGAAAGACGAGCCAGAGTGCGGCGTTCCCTTACCACACTCATCCAGTTACCGAGGATTACATCGTTTCTCACGAGGTAACGTAACATACCAGCTCAAATTACCACTTACAATAACAATAGTAGATGCTTTTCAGATTATCGGAATCGGTGAATCAGGTAAGGTGATGGCTTGCTACAATAAGGACACCAATGAGAAATACGCTCTGAAAGTACTGCGTGACGGACCAAAAGCTCGTCGTGAAGTCAGCCTACATTACCTTACAAAGTAGGTGCCACTTCATTGAATCTCTTCTCTACGGAAGCTTTAGAGTTGCTCAACCAGCAGTCAAACGGGTGGAAAATGTTTTTCTGAACAATCCCCAAGGTTGCAAATTTGAAAGTGGCCAGTCTCATAAAAGTTGTCACCCGTTGGTTTGGGAAATAGCTGGGAAAAGTGCTCCCAGGCTATCGGTGACATATTTGATAGCCATAAAAAAATGAAAAAAAAATGATAGGAAAATTCCCTCTCCCATATTGATTTTTTTGGTGAGATCTGATCAGTCTCTTCATACGCGCCGTGCATTCTGTCTATACCAGAAATTGTAGAGGCAACGAATGCGCTGTTGGGTTTGGAAGTGGTCAATAGACGAGATCATTCACTTCGAGTTGCTAATTATCTCGGGCTGTTCGTCAGAAAGTCATCGACCACGGAAACGTAGAGGGCCAGTTAGGTTTTGACAGCGATCGATCGTGTGACCTGCGAATATTATATCGGCGCTTAGCCACGGTTTCTTTATCCTGGAGCCGGTTCGATCGCTCTCCCATTGATTAGGAAATCCTTTAAATTTATTTGTTTTCAACGATATAGTTTCTTCATTTGCAGTGCATGTACTTGACCTACATACATACATTAAATGCGGGCCCCTTCATCAGGAAATCCCAGTTGGGAAGACAGAGAAAATTCAAAGGGATTTTCGTCCCCAACCCCTACGGGGAGGATCCGAATTTTGATCTCTTGATCGCTCTTTGGCCGATCTTCGATTCATAACCCAGACAACAGGTCCAATCAGAGAAAGCATCAACCTTCAAGGTGTTGTTCGGAAGCGAAACAAACGTTGTTGACAGTTGCCGTAGCAGATCTTAGATCACTGATAGTCAGTCGGTGTTGATGAGAAGGGAACTTTGCGCGCGCTGCGCTCACGGCAACAACTGAATGTGTTTGATTTAGTGCCCATGAAAATGTGGTGAACAATCGTGGACATTTATGAGAACACTTTGATGGAGTGAAATGTCTTCTGATGGTCGTCGAATTCCTTGGAAGGAGGCGATCTGCTGAGTCAATTTGAGAATCAGGGCAGCAAACCGTATCCAGAGAAAAGTAAGTCTACTTTGTCCTTCAAGAGTACAAGTACTTTTCTGGTAAATTGCACCCTTAATTCTGGTTTACACGGCGAAATGTAGTTTCCTCGTGATTTCTCCGCTTATTCTGGATTACCTGACCGGTTTGGCGGATTCACTGGGGTTTTCTAAGACAAAGGGAAAGGGCAGCCCTTGGCGTTCGAGAAAAACGAACTTCAAGGGGTTTCTAGATCTTTTGTTGTGGTGGGTACATCTGTAGTAGAAAAGAATCCGATCCTCCTGAGCGTCCCTCCATCGCTGTTTGCCACGGCCGGTAACAGAGTCACCCGCTGTGACACAATGTACTTAGGACACGGCCAAAGTCCAATCGCTTCTAGATCTCAAATAATATTGTCACAGCAGGCATGTACAAATGCCATCGTTTCAGTATTTTGCAGTTAACCAAGTAAATTTTCAGAAGTCGGGGAAATTATACGCCAGATCGGGTCGGCGGTACAATATCTACACGACATGAACATTGCACATCGGGATATCAAGCTGGAAAATATCTTGTGCAGGTGTGTCACTCGATCCAAATGAATTGATATTGAAATTGTAAAGCTCTTTGCAAAAATTCTGGAGATTTCCAAGTTCAACGGGTGATGACTGTGTGTACAAACTTGGAGACTACGGGTTTGCCAAAACGTCCTGAACGGAATGTCCTGATGGAATCGCCTTGTTGTACTCCATTTTATGCGTCAGTTCCTAGCTCTATTGTGGATTTCAGCTCGTCCTAATGTCATTTACTAAAATTGGTATGCTTCAGACCTCCTGAGGTGCTCAGTCGTGAACGCTACGACAAATCCTGTGATATGTGGTCCCTTGGTGTTGCAATGTACATACTGTAAGTTACTTAACACTTTCCGTTTTCCCCCTAATGACATCAAAAATACCAATTAAAGCAACATTAAAAATGAACACTCGTGGAACACAGCGTCGTGCCCCCCCCCCCCCCCCCCCCCCCCCCCCCCCCCCCCCCCGTGCCTTGTGAACATCTTGTGGCGATCAGTATCGTATCTGAGAGAGAAAAAATTATCTAAAAATGTGCACTACACCATGTGGAACACTCACGTGTGTACGTTTCGCCCAAAATTGCTCCGATAGCGGAACCACACCACACACAAACGCGAACCGTAACCGCTCACGAGAGAACCAGGAATTGAAGCAAAGCCTATACGGGTGGCCATTAAGGAGGGAGACGTTCTCAACCGTGGCACCTACAATGAGACCAGGTGGTACCATCCCCATTGGTGGGTGGGATAGAGCTGCCCAGTAAAGTCTCAGATGCCCCATTTTCCCGGTTAGGGAGTGCCCCTCCTGAGTCCTAGAAGGGTTGAAGGATAGGCGAAGCAAGTATGTGATACGCCGTGCATTTTACTCCTTTGAAAATCGCAGCGTCACATGAATGCTTGCCTGATCTCTCCAATAACTTGTAAGGTTACATCGCAATGGAATGAACGCTAATTTCCTCCAGACACAGATCCTCCTAATACCGAGAAATGGAGGCTTTATTGAACGGGTGAGATCCCAGCCAGGGTGAACCGCCCGCTTTACAAAGTTCAGCGACGGAGGGGGAGAGGGAGGGGGCTCGCATTTTGAGTTTTAAAGAACTGTGATGTGTCGACGGAGGTCGCTAATTCGAAGCTTTAGGTTCGTGATGTTCGCAGCTGGGACAGTTTGAAGTCGTGTGCCAGTGGAGGAGGGGGGGTTTTTGATCCGACTTTTTTGGAGGAATTTGGAGAGAACCTCATGGCGACGCAGGAGGTGGAAGGGAATGGAGGGGGTTGCAAAGCAAGGCTGTTGGTGGGAGGGGAGGGGGTGGTCGGGTTCGGGGAGAAGGTCGTGAAAACCTACAAAATTGGCACATTAGACAGCTGACCCTCATCCCAGCAATGTCTTTTGGAACCACACTTTTAGCCCGAAATGATTAAAAATAAACTCCAGAGGCCAAACGTGGATTTGATGAGTGAACACATGGTGTAATGCGAAATAAACGACGAAAACGATAGAAACAAATTTTTCTTCAATCGAGTTTTTATTCCGGATACGGTACATTGATGTGACGAGATGTTATCTACCAGCAAGGTGGTTTACAGACTATGCGGTTATCCGCCGTTCTACAGCATGAAGGGTCTAGCCTTATCGCCGGGCATGCGAAATCGAATATCGAAGGGATACTACGCGTTTCCGCCGGAGGAATGGGACCACGTGTCTCAATCCAGTAAGCGCACAATCACATGTGACGTAATTACGCTCTAGCCACCCTCTTAGTGATGCGCCCGCATGCGCCGCCCCGCGCCATACGCTGCGTTTGTCCCTGATTATGGATCTCGAGCTTTAAGCTGTGATCATACTCGGCGAACGGCGGAGGTGTGAGGTAATATTCAAGAAGAGACGGAGGATGATGAGTGAACCTCACCAGGCACAAATGTTCCTGTCATTCTCTGTTCATTCTCCGTCTCCTCCAGGTACACACTATCTCATGCCTCAGTCCGAAAGTCGTCAGCCGCCGAGTATGACCCGAGCTTATTGTTGTGTGTGGTGGTGCTGTGAAATGCTCGGATCCCAATCAGGAACATTGCACGTACGACACGAAGCGACTCTTAAAGGGTCAATTCTGAATCCTCTTCTCTCTCTCTGTATTCTCCACTCTCACTTGATCATTCTGTCTCATCTAATTTACTCATCTTTCAGGGTAGCTGCCTAAGAAAATTTCGGCTATTTGAAGACTTATTGTTATGATTTCAGCGAAAGATGAAATCCGTTCGCTGCTCCGAACTGACCCTACTGAACGGATGACCATCCATACATTGATGAACACACCCCTTGTTACCGGTGAGAAAGCACCAGAAGGAATTCCCATCCCTGGTGCAATTGAAGAAGATGAAGATGAGGTAAATCTGGTTCACTCATCCTATCTATTATTAAGTGATATTATCAACTAGATAAATCTAGTCTGTCTTACTCTGGGAGAGAAATGTGGATCTAAGGGGGTGATGCCGGTCCTAAAGGCATGGGTCGCGATTTGATCCAAAGAGATTCTCTTATTAATTGGGGTAACAGGGTCACTAATCATGACGGTTTGGCACTCTCGCGACTCGAAAGTGCGCGACGATGGAGCTAATACTTTCGGCTGACCGCTGTCACGTCGTTCTAGGCCGATGTCAGACTTTGCGAATCGCGCGATTCGCCGTCGCGTTGCGGTACCAGCCAATTGAGTGATTCACTGGCCGCGACGCGACCGCAGACGCTAGCGAATCGCGCGATTCGCAAAGTCTGACATCGGCCTTATTAATCGTAGAAATACGGTGATGTCTGCGCCATATCAGCGTACTTTGTGCTTCCCTCGCATTTCCTCTCTCCTCGCGGCGCTTTGTCTCTCTCTACAAAAAATTAAAAATCAAATTAACACACAAATTCATCGCGACCCATGCCTCTAGTAAAGGGGTGGTATCCACCCTTTACGTGCTCTGATGGCACACATTGTTCAGAAGATTTAGGATTATCTGATCCACCCAGCTAGTACTCTTTACCTTTAGGCGACTGCAAAGCGTTCGTAGACAAATTTCGTCCGATTGGGTCTCGCATTCGAGTTGTATTCGTGTTTGAAAATATATTTGAAGCGTAACTGCCCTCCCCCGGTAATGGTTTGTAAAGATCAGCCAACGTTCACGTCAGTGCACGCTAGGATGGCCCCTGACGAGGCTCCATCCTAGAGGACTTGTAATCGTAAGCAATGCTCGTAGTAGTACTAGTAATGCACTATATCTTTCAAAAGTCGTATACTGGGGTGGCCAAAAAAAGATACTCTCCTCCGACGTAAGCAAACCAGCCCTTTTGGCACATCGGCTGGGACCGTATGCTGAATGTTGGGGAGGGGATGGAGTCCCCGACGGTGGACGGACCACTTCAACTCGGTCCTTAGAACCGCCACAATTTGGTGCTTACCTCAGAACTAAGCCTTAAAGAGAGGACGGGTCCGTCCCCTCTCCAAGGCTTAGTCCTGGGTGAGCAAACCAGCCTTCTGGCGGAGCTGCTGGACCAGCTGCACCACTTGCGTCAGTACTCTCCTATCGTACCAACCGAGTTGAAGTAAACCGTCGACCGTTGGGGACCCCATCCCCTCCCCAACATTCAGCATACGGTCCCAGCCGATGTGCCAAAAGGGCTGGTTTGCTTACGTCCTCTCCGCTCCACATTTACAGGGCAGCAATTAATCACATTTACGAACTCATTCAAACCGATTCCTAACTTCATATAAACCTCACTTCCGCAGTCGTATCAATAAACATCATAAGATTCTACCACCAATTATAATTATCGCAAGAATCTTGTTCATAGAACCTTGCGCACAGTTCGAGCTTCCGCTTGGTCCTCCGCGGATCATGTATCTTAAGACGTTATCTGAAGCGCTGACCTGGGAGGGGTCTTGCATATTTAGAGCTACAGTCCCTAGAAAGCACTTAAGCGATCACTTAAATAAAGTTTTTTAGCAGCTTCAGGCTGGAACGATTCCTTTATGCCTACTTGAGCTCAACGGTGATGGAAGATGACGTCATATTTTGGGGACGTGAGGGCAGTGGAGAGAGGCCCTGCTTCTACTTATGGGAGGACATCTAAGGGATATTTTGCCGTAAAACTTTCATCAACAGCGGCACCCTGTGCGACGAAAAGTTGATGATGTGCGCCATGGGCAAAGTGTCTTTTTTGGCCACCCCTGTATATTTTTATTCTTCTTCTATTTCTTATAACTTATCAGGAGGGGTACTTTTAATAGTTTTTACAGAGCGGAAGCGTTCCATAACACTTTCGCTTTGCCTTCAGTGTTTACGCCTTCGATGTGTTATCGTTTATCTAAACAACAGAATGATAAAGTGTATAAGTATTCAGGTACCAGAAGAACCGGTTGTCGTGCCACGCAGTGTACGATTTTTACGCGATGGTGTGAAGGCGCCTCGTTTGCACAGTATCCAGGTTGGTATCAAGGTTACCTGCAACTGGTCAAAGCTTACCTACATGCCCATAAACAAGAGATTTTCAGGAAGAAGTTGGTCGCGCACTGGATATGATGCGTCTTGGCGGTGATCTCGTCTTTCCTAAAAGGTCCACAAGCTTCATGCAATAGTCTTCTGGCACGACGTACAACCGCTCATCTGAGTATTCCACGGGTTCAGTGCTGATGGAGAAATCAACCGGAGATGGAGGCTGTACGCAAAGTCGCCACAGCTAGTCCTTCGTAGTTCTTCAGAAGCCCTTCATCTTGGTAGACCTTTTATCGTCAATTCTTTGATGACTAGAGGTAGACATTCGAATATGCCTCATGCCTCTCTCCCTTTCTCAGTTTAGCATCCTAGAGTCTTTACTCTATTATGCCTTTTATAATGTGATTTCATTCAAAGGTTCGATTGTTCTTGTGTGTGTTGTATCGCTCAGGGATCCCCTTACGTTAGTGCGTAGTATTTGGTTAGACCAAATTCAAAACTCGTTTTAGTTTTCAAATTAAAACTGTTAGGGTTGAACTCGCTGATGAAATGAAGAAAAACAACTGCCCTTTTGTAAATATGTCCCCGTAACAACAGTTGCACACTCTGTTTTCCGCAGTCAGGCACGTCGTAATTGCAGACCCAACAACATACGTGGCTGATCGATGGCATTAGTGCCATCCGCAGTGCCATTTTCTAGGTCAGAGTCACGTGTAGCGCATTCTGCAATTGCGGCATGCCCAGCCGTGGGGAACAAAGTACATCTCTTTTTGAATTGATGAAGACATTTTGCCATGTTGGCGAAAATAAAGATGATTTATGATGTTTCTGTTTCCGGCCTATTATCTAGACGCACTCTATTATGACTGTAGAAGGGTACTTATCAGAGATCAATTATATTTTTGTTCACATTATTCTGCTGTAAAAGCCACACGTTTGAAGAAAATGAAGCTGACATTTCGGTAAGTCAACTCACTTCGTCTACCAGACCCCACCTACCTCACACCGATCACAAACTGCCCCTTACCAGACACAGATCAACCTGGGCCGTATGTTATACCTACCGACCGGGCCTGGAGAAGAAAACCCCATCAAATTTACTTGTTCTTCTTACAAATAGTATCCTCTTATTTTCTGCATTTTTTTTCGTGTAGGCTCATACTTCACAAACCCTTCAAAAACCTTTTTTGGAGCGATCCAGGTTTGGAAAAGAAATAGAATCCAATGGAATCCACT